TTTCTCTTAAACCGAACCGCAGAATCGCTTTGCTGTTGCTGCTGACCTCCACGCTGCTCTTGCAATCAAGATTATGCCCCGGGGGGTCTGGGCTCCATTTCTAAAGTTAGCCCCAAGCCTACCAACCCCACGTTTCACTTCCTGGGCGCTAACCCTGCTCTGACAGAGAGGGGCAAGTAAAGGACAATAAATTAGAATTGCTGTCTGCCTGCAGGGTGGAGGAGGAGAGCTGGGTTATCTTACAGCGATAAAAAAAATCAGGGGGCCTGCTTTCCGCCTAGCACATTTTACTAAAAAAAATCTGCCTTTGAATAAAAGGTGCTAGTTGGAAAAAGTGCTGGTAACCTCCCGATTTTTGAGCTTCAGCTCCCCAAAACTTCTGCTTTTAAATAAAATGTGCTAGTCAGAAAACGTGTTACCAGACTCCTCCTGATTTTTTTTTCTGCCTGCAGTAGAAAAGAAGAGGGTTCCCCATTTCTTTTCCCTTTTCTGGATGACCTTCCATCACATTGTATGTATGTATGTATGTATGTATGTATGTGTGTGTGTGTGTGTGTATGTATGTATGTGTAAAATATACATATATATATATATATTTTAAAGCATGTTGTTGGGCTTTTTTGGAACAGCAGTTGATACATAAGAAACAAAATAGAGAACCAAGGTAGCCACTGTCACATAATTAAAACCATATTTAATCTTTGTTAAAATCAGGTTTTTGGCAATAGTTAAACATGAATTATGCTCTTCTGCTGCTAACCTGCATGCTTGGGAAAAAGCACTCTGTTTCCAAGCGCCCCTAAAGAATTGGCCCGTGGGCTGGAAGGGACGGGTGGGCAGTGGGGTGATTCAAAGGCACTTGTTCCTGCTGCCTTGCTGGCTGCTGGGATCCAGGCTTAGCCCCCTGCAAAGCAAGAGAGCGATCCCTTTGCTTCGGGTCGGGCACTGGCGGCCATCTATAATTTGGAGTAGACCACCTGCTTGGGGGTCTTGTTCTCCATAGCAGCTTGGGCGGACTTGATGATGTCTTCGGTTTGAAGCATGCTCATATTCCAGGCAGCCTGAAGGAGAGACGGTGAGAGTCAGAAGGCAGGAAGGAGTTCGAGAAAGTGGCTCTCCCCTGCTCTCCCCAGCGTCGCTCTCGCACCTCAGCCCTCTTCCCTGACGTCCGCAAAGCCCCAACCCTCTTGGCCTTCTGCAAGGCCGTGAAGACCTGCCTTGTCCCCCCAAGCACCGGGGCCAGGAAGAAAGTGGGGTGCATGGTGCACGCTGCAACTGCCTGGAGCATCCCGGGATCTTCCCTGATGCTTTTCTGTTATGTGGCGTTCAGCCACAGACCTTCCCATGTGCACGCCACAAGCTCCCCGTATTAAGAAGACCCACCACTCACCATGTACTTCAGGCCTTCGGGCACCGAATGGTCCCTGGAGTAGAGGAGGTTGATTTTGGTGCCTTGCACAGCGACTGGACTCTTGCTCGCAATTTCGGTGGCCAGATCAAAGGCGCTCTGCAACATGGTCTCCCGATCTCGGAACACGCGGCTGGGGGAGAAAGAGGATGATGCGCCCCAAGCCAGAGGAATTTCTGAGATCTTGGCAGCTTCCTCCGGCCCAAGAATGCAAGTGTTGGGTTTGGGGGTTTCACAGGAATGGCATTCCAATGCGTCTGGAAGGCGCCAGGCAGGGAAATGGCTGCATTTGGGGCCAGACAATCCTACTTTTCTTTTTCAGCCCAAAGGGAGTGGGAGAAAAACCACAGTCTTGCTCGACCATCTAGCTCAATGCTTCTCAACCTTAGCAACTTTAAGAGGTGTGGACTTCAACTCCCAGAATTCCCCAGCCAGCAAAGCTGATGAAATTAATACATGCCCCCTGGTCGCAGATGCTTCTGCAGGTGACAGCACTCGCCCAACCTCGTCTGGTCTTGAAAGCTAAGCAGGGGTTAGGCCTGGTTAGTTCCTGGAAGACAAAACAGCCAGGAAATTCCCCGGGGCTACAGATTAGACGGGCAAGTCCAAGACAATCTTGGGAGAATGCAAGGCAAACCAGTTCTGCGGATGCGTCCGTGAAACCATCTGGAACGCACTCGATTGGGGGAGGGGGTGTCTTTTGCAAGGGGGCAGGAAAACTCAGATAATATTTACTGTTTCATGTTTTTTAAGATGGGGGCTCCTAGAAAGGACCTTGTGGCGTGACTGCAGTTATAGAGGGGAGAGTTCTTGGCCCTTTGGCATCTGGGGGCCACGTTACCACCTGTAGGGAAGGAAGGGGCCATGTTGGGGACGGGGTGATAAAGCGGACATGATCAGATGAGGCATGTGAATGGGCCAGAATTTTTAGCATTTTGTGGTCAGAGACCAGGGCATGTTCTCTTCAACTATTCTCATTCTATTGGAGAATATGCTTTCCAGCTTCTTGCCTCAACGAGGTGGGAAATCAAGGGGCTGGTTGGACAAGGAGGCTCTCTGAGTGGAAGCACAAGATTGAGGACCTTCTGCAGCCCCCATCCTCGGCTTCGAGACAGACCCACCTGACGAGGCCGCAGCTCTCCGCCTCTGGGGCCATCACCTTTCTGGCAGTGAAAGCCAGCTCGTTCACTAGGCTGGAGAGAGAGAACATAAACAGTGGGGGTAAGAGAGATCTCAATCCGGAGAAGAGTAGGCAGGCTTTTTTGGGGGCCAGCAGTCTGTCCGTCCCCCCGACTGTATTTGGGGAATCAACCTGGGATCCCCCTTCCAGCACATGAGGCTGGCTTCATGGGGGCTCCTGAATATCCCAAATCTCTGACATGGCTCGTCTGAGCAAACTGCAGGCTGGGCATTCCTGACTCTCTTCGAGCAGAGATCGACTCAAAGCTGCCACTATCCAAAGCAGGGGAAACCGTGGCTCCTTTTTTTGCGCGACGAGGAAGGGCGCCGAGCTGAAAGGAAGCGACGCTCTCACCTCCGATTTCCAATGATCCGTGGCAAACGCTGTAACGTGCCAACGTCGGCGGCCAGCCCAATGTCCACTTCCTGAAGGAAGAAGAACAGGGAGAAGGTTGTCCGGGGAGAGGCATCCATGGAGCTGAGGTTTACTCAAAAGGATGATACGGGCCCTGAGATATCACGGCACCAGCCACGTGCCTTAAATACTTGGAAGAAACTTTGCAATGCAAGGACGAAGGGAGAAGTTGGTGTTTGCCAACTTCCACCTGGGTAAACTCATGTCTGGCCAGTTTATGGACTGAAATAAACACACGTAGGGTTATTTGTGCATGTGCACGTGTGTATGAGAGAGAAAGAGCAACACAGAGAGACAGAGACCAAGGAAGGGAGTATCGGTAGTCCCTGGTTAAGAATGCCCAGTTTAAGGATGACCCATAGTTCAGAACGGAGCCTATTGTAGCAAAATTCAAGTTAAATGCACAGTGATTCGAGTTAAACACACAATGGTTTGAGTTCATTACACAATACTAGTTATACTAGTGTTTCTCAACCTTGGCAACTTTAAGATGGGTGGACTTCAGCTCCCAGAATTCCCCAGCCAGCTTTGTATTGTATAATTCTGCTTTGTATTGTATAATTC